ATTATGTCGGTCAAAAAAATACGAACCCAATGATAGACTATATTTGCCACGAAGGTCACCGCACAATCACAGAAATTTTTGAATTGCTGACTTCAAGGCCGTCGTTATCCCTGCAGCATCTAGCCATCTGTCAGAAGTCCGTTCCGATTTAAAAACAGATGGTACTTAGTGCATGCTCTTGACCACCGAATAAGCCAATAAACAATATTCATTTTGTTTCCTATGTTCATTCGATTTATTCTATTAACTTGAAATAAAAGGCGATGTAGAGTCTGACACGTGTGTTTCATATGTAGATATTTTACTTTAGAAAGACACTGATGGCAAACTAACACCTAAACTATAAATAAATTTACGTGATGACTTCAACTTTTCAATGTAAAATTGCCTTACTAATGTAGCAATATACTCTCACTTGCATATGGAGTATTTATTTTGAAATGTCACAAATTCATCGGTTTAAACGCTGCACCTGACTACTGGCTATATTTCCATGTTCGGCTGGTGAGAATGAATATCTGGCAATATGGCCCAAGGGTTGCGTTTACATTTCGATATTAGAGATCATTTATTACAGAAACCACTTTCCGTAATGTTTTCTTTTTTAAATTAGAGTAGCTGCCCTTTTAAGAAATGACGCCATATTTATTGTGACTGCATCATAAGTCATGGTAGCGTCAAACAAGAAAGGAAAAATGTTTTAAATTATTGTCTAAACAGAAACACATTATGAAAAAAATAAAGATGTCTCAAAGATTTCTCAAGATAAATTGACGGCAAAAAGGTAAGATTGATAATTTTGAAGAGCTTGACAGTGTGAAATTTGACGAAACACCATACTGACGATAGGCGAGATGTTGGGACTTTTATGAATTTTGAATTAATTATTGAATTATTTCATCATCATCTCTTGCAGGCCCACTGTGCTAAGGGGATCGGGAGAGGGTACTCTCACTGTGTTATTAATAGCGTTTTTGCTTGAAACGCCGTGTCCCATCCCCTCCACACACACACACTTACACACACACACACTTTTTGTTGCAGCAGGGTCGAAAGTTTGCCATACTGTTGCAAATGAAAATTTCCCAACAATTTAGAGGAAGATTCTACCCCCTCCCGAGTTTTAGTATTAAGAGTTATTTTTTCTTGCCCCCTCCCCCTCTATTGATAAACGTTGCTACGGGCGTGTCTTATATTTATGTCCCTCACACTATGATCCTCGAGAAAATAAATCATTTATTAGGTTTGTTACTGGCTGTCTACTGAAATATATCGGGTTGACTAATCTCTTCGTCTATGAGATTGATCAACCCGATAGATTTCTGTAGACAGTCTGTAAAAAAAAACCTAATAAGTAATTATGTCTTCCAGTTCATTCGATACGCAAAAGCATTTTACATACGAAAAATTTCTAAAAGGAGGCAGGCTATTGAAAAATAAGTTTATTATACAAAGATGTCAAAAATCTCGTTGAAAGTCAAATTCTATGGTCGCTAAAATTGACTTTGTTTGCAAATAAAATCTAATAGGTCAAATGAAAGACTGGCGTCTTTCGTATGAATTGTTAGACCATTAATATCACACTGAATTTTCTACGGAATTTCCATGTTTAGCGGATCATGACGGACCACACGAAGGCTACTGGTCGATAGGGAATGCTTACTGTTCCATGGCACCTGTTTCCATCTCTGTTTTCAGCAGACTTTAAATGAACTTTTGAGCATGATAAATGTTCTCTATTCTCACGTTTTGTTATACCCCCCCCCCCCTTCATAGTGATGAGGGTGTCCATCCGTAACTCTTTGAGGAATTCATCTCTTATCCGCAACTCCTCTTATACAACTCGATAAAATATAATGAAACCTTCACAGAATCACTGTTCGTTATCTTCGCCTTTTTCATTACATAATGCCATTGCGCACCTCTTATTGGACACATATTCCGGGTTCCCCAAAACACGACATGGACACTGCCATTATTTATATATTATGGGGTACCCTTTCTTTTTCATACCTGTGAATCACAATGTTTGAAATGTTTCTTAAAAGAAAATGAATGACTGGTTGCTGAAAACTTTTTATTGATTCTCTTTTATGCACTTTTACAATTTTGATTAAAGGAATAATGGAGGAAATGACATGTTATTATAAGGTAGTGGTAATTGGTAGGGGAGAAAGTCAATATTTTGAATTCATTCATCAATATTTAACCGTCTTACAATCCATAATGTAAAGTGTAAAAAGGTGAGGATAACGTATAATGATTAATCTAATAAATCTAGTTAACAAAACAAATCGTTAACAAGGCATAAAACATCAGGGATGGGGTAATTGAAATGAGTAATTGTAATATACTGTATTTAGATACATTTTTTCCAAAGTAATTGAAAGTATTTGTTCGCTTTCAATTACAAGTAATTGAATGTATTTAAATACATTCCAAAAATGTAATGTATTTTTCAAATACATTTCAATTACATCTCAAATACTTTATTTTTTCACGTTACATATTTAAAAAAGGTGATTTATCATGATGCATACCAGTACTGCTTGGCATGAGTTTGTGTTTATTCAATGATTAAATACCTAAAAATGCTTATAAGCATTAACACACTGCCCAGAGCAATAGGAAAGGTCAAATTTAATAATATTCTTTAAAATTTTCATGTATTTGCTCTTCAAAAATTTTGAAATAAAATTAAAGTAATTGATAAGTATTTCATTACATTCTTCAAAGTAATTGAGAGTAATTAAATGCATTAAAATCAATGAAATTGTAATTGCAAGTAATTGACAAAATTATCAATATATTTGAAAGTATTTAATTACATTTCAAAGTAATTGACCCCAACCCTTTAAAACATGAACCCCTGGAAACACCAGAGGTGGGATCAGGTGCCAAGTAGGAGTAAGCATCCCCTGTCGACCCTGTGGATGGAGTACTATGTACTCAAATTAAATAAAAAGCAATGAAGGAACAAATGGTATGAAACATGTCAGACAAAATACGACCAAAGGATTGGTTGTACTTTCAAACAAGGTCGTTATGACGACCGTAGAATTTGCGAAAAGCTGGCTTTAAATGGGTTTGTTGAAATACTTGTAACATCAACGGAATGTTGAAATATTTCTACATAAATAAGGGAGATTGACGATGGAAAAAGCTAAAGTTTGCCATACAGTTTAGTTCAAAATGATCGTATTCAGAGCACGCTGTTGCGTTTCAAATCAATTAAGACATAAACATCCTATGCAGTGATGGAATATTGCTACCTAAAGGGAAATTAAGGACGGTAAGGTTGAAGTCATTCCCTTTGTCAAAAAGTTTAGCTATCAAGGCGTTTATAGTTTAATATTTTGTTCATGATTTATATAGATTCATTAAATCCGTTTTCATTGGATTTTTTATGATTTCTTCTTTTTTATTATACTTGTAACTTTTGACTCATATATCTTTGTATTTGCAAGCAAACACTATATCTGTTTTTATGCGCTAAATGTTTTGTTTCTCTCTGTAAATTGTATTTACGTTGTTCACTTCCAGATCTCCTCAGTACAAACTTCAATGTATTTATTCAAAAACAAGAGCTACTTACACAAAGTGGCTTGGATTATCTAGCATTAAATCAGTTGTCAGTCTTTGTAGAGTTACAAACAAAAATATAAAGGCAGACGTCCTGCGTTCATTACAAAAAAAATTTCCTGACTAGTGTCTACAACTTGAAAAAAAAAGACCTTCTCTAATTCAACGCATTTGAATAAAATATAGGAAAAAAACAGTAAAAATACCATAATTTAAAATTAAACCGTACAAATTGAGAGCTATCCCCAGTCCATCAGTCCCATCTGCCATAAGCCCATTGTTGTGATCGGATAAACAAAGTTATCTATACACAAGTTAGTGTGAAAATATAAAATCAACTTATTTATCAGAAGCCTGCCACTTTAAGTACATCCCAAAATAAGGCATAATCATGTAATAATCATAAAAAATAGGTTTAACTGAATTTAAACGTTGTTGATCTCTATGAAAAACATATTGAAATGCAGCTTTTAAAATGATAATTGATAGTTTACTTCAAGATCAAAATATGCGTAATAAAGAAGTTATTTTCATATTTTTTTTTTTTACATATGAAGTCGTTAGGCTACATTGGATATTATAGATTTTTCTTTGTACAATTTTAATTTGAATATTTTTTTAAATTATACCGAGTAATAATCAAACCTTTGTGAATCTTGCTCCTTGTTTAACGTAGGAGATAGAGAAAAAATGTTAAAAATTTCCATTTTGCTTTTCTCAAGTGCCAATATATACAGAAATTATGATGATCTGAGGGGACTTTTGTAAAGCTTAACTTAACAAATATTTAAACGATGGTGATCTGACTTAGGCCTTCAATGAACGTCAGTGAAAAAGAGTGTTTAGTCTACTTTAATAAATTACTTTTTACATACATATGTGCTTCTTATGTTGACATAATGGATAGTCGTAAAGTGAAGGATCACCTGATGGGGGATTCTAAAAGGGCTGAAGTCTGGCACTCAGACATTTTTAATCTAGTACTTGGGAGACCACTTTCTGATTAGACAAAATCATAGTTTTAATATTTGACTTTCTTTAACTGTAATTTTCTTTTCAAAAATTGTTCTGTTACACATTTAAGTTGACCATAAGATTTAGTACTAAACATTTTCGTTTTGTGGCATGAACTTGATTATCTAAAACAGGGAAAGGTTACATACCGTATAATTAGCAGTTTTAGCGACCATCTAATTTTGTCATTATGAGATGGTTGTGGTATCACTAAAATATTTGTCACTTATAATTCAAAAACAAATATTGTATTAGAAAATAGACAGGACTATTCCTACTCTTGCTAAAAATTAACTGTGCAAATAATAAAAACCTTTTTAAGGATAAGATCGCGAACTTTGCACTTCGCTAAATTAACTCATTATACGGTATTTTTGTATTGGAAAAATACGAATGCGATACTTCTAAGCAAAGGCAGCCATCACAACAAGATAAACAAAGTTGCAGTTAAACAACATCATTCCAAAGAAGATAAGACTGAAACGATCTGTTGCCATTCCGATGTCTCGCCATGTCAGAATCTTAGATACAGAATCTATTGTCACTTCTTTTGTGCTTTCCTTCTCTTCCAAATTCACTTTATGTTTTCTCCTGCAACGACAGCAACCAAATGAAATTCTGTGAAACGTCTCCAAGTAACTGGGAATTATTTTTTCATCTTCCCTATGATAAAACCGTAGCCCAACAATAACACTTATCGTCATGAATACTCCGATCATAAAGTCTCCCAACAGTTTGTAACTGAGGTATGAAACACTGGGCTCCGAACCTTCTGGTAATTTATCTTGTACTAAGGTGAGATAGACAGCAATGGCTAGAAGGACCGTGGTAACAAATCCAACACGTTCACCACAATCTGGTGGCATAAGAAATACTATTAACTGTAGAAATGACAGAAAAGCAACTGGCAGTATCAAACTAGATATATAATACACCGGTCGCCTTTTCATGCTGATGGCCATTCGCAACTCTTGAATTTGTTGCGAGTTTGTAGCAGTATAGATTCGAGTTTCTTTCACTTCCCAGAGTCCGTTTTTACTATACTCATTCATGTCCATGGAGGTCCTAGGGATTGTAAACTCGATTTCGGAGAATGTGAATCCTGGTATATAGAACTTCAAGATACAAGTTTGTGAATCAAATGGATAATACGACATATCAGCGTCACAAGTACTCTCAAACATGTTAGGCGTGACCCAAGTGACTATTCCGTCGCTCCCAACTCGTAAATGTAGTTCGTTATGACCGATCTCCTTCAGTGTATCAAAGTCCATCATATTAACAAGGAAGGGTATCCAGACTTTCTTTTGGGGGACCACGGTAGTATTCAAGTCCCCTCCGTAATCAGCTGGATTCCATGACAATCGATGGTCTACCCAGAAGACCCCTAGTGCTCCAGTAATGGAGAATTTCCCGACAGATTCATCAAGCTCCTTAATACTCTTAAAGGTAAATGTCACATTAATTTGTAATGGAGTGGACCTAGTTGCTCCCGGTCGAACGTCGCGGTCGTATGTGGAATTGAATATCGCAGCATGTAGACTCAGTTCATCATTTATTGTATATGCCTCGGAAAACATAAATAAACAAGTAAGAGAACTCACAGCGAAAAATAGTCCGGCCATTCTCGTGGAGCTCATTTCGTGGATTAACCTCTATTACAATAATTGTTGCATAATGATTAGTGGGTGCAAACTGGTGAATTGGAACAATGAAATTTAACAGTGTATTAATATTTCCATTATTACCTTACCGAGGATAATTTACAATAGACGTGTTTGTAATAAGAGTTTTAAACCTTTCATCATTAAAGATCAATGAACTGAAGATTTTGGACTGTTAATGGTTTAAACAAATCTAACTTTTCATTGTAATAGAACTGAATATGCATTTATCAGTTCTAACGTCCATTTTAAATGTTTAGGTCATTAAATGCATGAAGGAAAAGATAATGCTTAGAAGGAGACAGATTGTTTTTCTTTTGTCATTAACAATAAAAGTATTGATATACTTTGGAGGTCCGAGGTTCAATTTTAGGACATGCTTAACACTACTTCTAATCTAAGCTCATATTTGGGTGTTTTATGTATATGGTTGATTGAATTCCTTTCAGTAATTGTTCACTTAAAACAATTCAGATTAGGTTTTTATGCATTACAATAATAAATTTCAAAATCTCAAACATTCATGCATATGAATAAAGAGGTTCACTTGCATGACTTTGGGAATTAACTGAAACAGTAAAATAGAGCAATAAAACAGAAGAATAAATAACATTTAGACAACTCATTATTCCAAATATATTTTGTACGGAAGCTGTATTTTACGAGAGTACAGTTTTCTTAAGAAAGTCTATCTAAGAAAATTGTCAAACATATAAAAGGTCCAATTATTAATGTTTTTAATGAACTCACAGATATTTATAATTTATTTACGTTAAGCAAATATTAAATACACTTTTTATATGTCATTTTTTTTCTCTTGTAATAAAGATATAGAAATACCAACTGGTATTTGATATAATTTTAAATTCTCCGTTAAGAACGGTAGTTTCAATTAAAAAAAACAGGAATTACTGACTTACTAATAAAAAACATAAACAAAAGAGTCTTTAAGTATTTTTTTTTTTTAATTTTTATTCATCTTAAAAGCAAGCTGATAAAAATACAAGCCATACGGAATGATGAAAACTCAATTTCCTCCGTTATATTTAATTTTGTACGGCATACCTTACATTAAAAGTCATTTTGGTCGTAAATCATATTTCTCGTCATTGAAAAACATTTATTCACATAATCGTGCTCGCACGTTTGTACCACTGCTTCAAGTCATTTGCAAAACACAATTTACAAATGATTTAGTTCAGTAACCTGAATTTTTAAAGGGACAGGGATTTAGGACACTGTTGATTAAGGTGTTACTATATTTAATTTTTGAAATGTTTTTGCAACTTAGATATCGGGTCTTTAGCGGATTAAACTGACTATTGTGAACAACTAGGGAGTTTAGAAGAATACGACAGGTTTAGGACAAAAAAAAACCTTACATGTTTGTAAAACCATTGCGACAAGCATTACTACTTGGGCAAAAATCAAATCCTTGCCTCTTACAATTCTGAAGATAAATGATATAACGACAGACACACGGACAGACAGAAATACAGACTTTGCCTGCGACATAAAAATTCAACGATATGTACAATTGTGCCAGCTGCGAGGATCAGGGTATTACAAATATTGTGTATGCAACATAAACATACACTCCTTGAAAAAAGAATACTCCTGATTTCTTCTAAAATAAAAATCAAACTAAAACTCCTAGAACATAGGTGCTGTAAACATTTAAATAACGTAGGGAAAATTAAGTAGACCACTTCCACACCTGCCGAACTAAAGAATAAAGATAAAGAAGGAGTGCTCTAAATTTTTCAGTATCAACAACACATTAACGGTACATCAACCGGCAAATGTCAAATGGTAGCAATAAAAGCTGTAAAATGGTATAATTGTGTAAATGTATTTCTTAAAACTTAACAATATAAACTATATAAATTTCATGAAAAGAAAGAAATATGATAATGTTATGTCTAATTTTTAAAAGTTGTAGTTTATCATTTTAACAAGATGTAATATTCATCCATATGATTTAATCTTCAAGATTCTGATAAATCTAAGTGGTGCTTCAGATCTCCAGATGAATTACGTAATTAAAACAATTCTTTACATCTATAATCTAAAACAGATAAAAATCCGTGCAAATATTCTATTTATGATATACAAGAATATAGCCACATAGGTGATGTATTGCAGACAAGTCGATGCTTATATTTTAAGAAGTAGTGTTTAAACCAATGACAAAGATATAACAAAAATTATTTGAATCACATTCATTAAGTAAAATTTTGCAGTAGGAATAAAAATGATTACAGAGATAGATATGGGCTATGACAGGTGGTCAGAGACCGATGAGCTGTGACGGGTGATCAGAGACATATTGGCTGTGACGGGTGATCAGAGATATATATGGGCTGTGACAAGTGGTCAGAGACAGATATGGGCTGTGACGGGTGGTCAGAGACAGATATGGGCTGTGACGGGTGATCAGAGACAGATGGGCTGTGACGGGTGGTCAGAGACAGATTGGCTGTAACAGGTGATCAGAGACAGATTGGCTGTAACGGGTGATCAGAGACAGATGGGCTGTGACAGGTGATCAGAGACAGATTGGCTGTGACGGGTGGTCAGAGACAGATATGGGCTGTGACGGGTGATCAGAGACAGATATGGGCTATGACGGGTGGTCAGAGACAGATTGGCTGTGACGGGTGGTCAGAGACAGATATGGGCTGTGACGGGTGATCAGAGACAGATGGGCTGTGACGGGTGGTCAGAGACAGATTGGCTGTGACGGGTGGTCAGAGACAGATATGAGCTGTGACGGGTGATCAGAGACAGATGGGCTGTGATGGGTGGTCAGAGACAGATTGGGTGTAACAGGTGATCAGAGACAGATGGGCTGTGACGGGTGATCAGAGACAGATTGGCTGTGACGGGTGATCGGAGACAGATTGGCTGTGACGGGTGATCAGAGACAGATATGGGCTGTGAGTGGTCAGAGACAGATATGGGCTGTGACGGGTGGTCAGAGACAGACATGGACTGTGACGGGTAGTCAGAGACAGATATGGGCTGTGATGGGTGGTCAGAGACAGATGGACTGTGATGGGTGGTCAGAGACAGATTGTCTGTGACAGGTGGTCAGAGACAGATATGGGCTGTGACAGGTGGTCAGAGACAGATATGGGCTGTGACGGGTGATCAGAGATCGATATTGGCTGTGACAGGTAGTCAGAGATGGATATGGGCTGTGATGGGTGGTCAGAGACAGATATGGGCTTTGACGGGTGGTCAGAGACAGATGGGCTGTGACGGGTGATCAGAGACAGATATGGGCTGTGACGGGTGGTCAGAGACAGATGGGCTGTGACGGGTGGTCAGAGACAGATACAAAGATAGACACCAGAGGAGGAAGTAGTCATTCAATATATTGCTCTGCAGCCAACACAAAAAAATTGACTTTGCGGTAACATTATTACAACTATTAAAATTTTTTAGTGGACCTTTTGTGAGAAAGGGACAATTATGTCCAGAAAAAAAATCAGAAATGTCAAATATATTTGTTCTCTGCTGTTCAGTAACTTCAGCATTGTTAGACTAATTTGCAGAGAAAAAACTTAAATCAAATATATGCCAAAACGCAAAAGAAACGCAATATCCTATCTATGAGGGAAAATTCAGATATAAGGTATGATTTTGTACTTAAAAAGTAAGGACATCTTCATCTTTGCATAGTCAATAATTGAACGGTTGAATGATTTTCATCCCGTTACCAGACCAAAGTTCGATCCCAACTTAACGGAAATCAATCAAATTACTGTTAAGCAAAAGAAAAGGGTATAATTTGGAGTTACAAAAGCTTGCATCTGTTCATCATACGTACTGCGGCAATATTCTTTTCTGATCCGCAAGTGATGCCAAGGCATTCTGAAAATGACTTTAAGCACGCATTTCTACTGCTCTAGCTGGAAATTGTCAAAATGGGATGAACGAGATGAACGAGAGTTGCAAAGGCAAAGATGCACTATATCACGCCTCATTATGGTCATACGTCTCATTAGCTTGAGTTACAGTCCCTGGACCGGACGTCTACGGGTTCCTAGACTGCGCCAGGTTCGAGAAAATTCGACCTTAGCATCTGAAAAACAGGCACTTCAAAAAGGATGAAGAATATTTCTTTTCCTCAGACCACGAGACTGATGAACTTAATACATCGTAGAATCCGAGCTGCAACTGCTGTGCATGGCACGCTTTAATGAAATAAATGGCGGGGGTAGGGTGGTTGTGGGTGGATGTTAAGGGATATCTGTTTCTTTCTAAGATGAAAAGATAAAATTCAACGTTTCAATCAATTTTCAGATGTTTTTAAATCAATGTTATCGTTCAGATCTGTGCTAAATCATTAGATAAAAAATTCAGGTATTTGTAGTTAATTCTTGTTGCGTTTCTTTTGCGCTTTAGTATACTTTCTATAAACTTTTTCCTCCTGTATTGTTCTTGAAAAGTTGCTATTTTTCATCACAAAATTTTGAATTACCTCTCTTTGGAAAGATGTATTACATCTCTTCGCCCAAAGACGTATTTAAAGCGATAAATATGTTTCGGTAAGTCAAAATGTCTTTAAATATCCCCCAGTTTATTCACGCCTAAGTGATTGGCCTTTGGTTGGTTTTTTTTTTTTTTTTCACAAGATGAAACACTTCCTTTAAACCTGGCTTAATGGTGGCTTATAGGTCCTTAATGATGGCTTAATGGTTGTCTTTAAGTCAACATTAAGCACCATTAAGCTATCTTTAAGTAATAAATACACCACCATTAAGTTACCATTAAGTCATTTCAAAGTCCTTAATGGGTGCTTAAAGGTAGCTTAAAGGTAGCATAATGGTGGCTAATAGGTGCTTAATGGTAGCTTCTAGACAATCTTTAAGTCACCATTAAGCCAAACTTATAGGTGCTTAATGTCCAAACTCCATTAAGCTACCATTAAGCCACCATTAAGTCACCATTAC